TAACAGTGAACGGATGAGAAGCTAAGAGCCATTATGCTTAACTGAACCAGGCATGTGGATAAGAGGCAAGTGGAAATTTCCAAGATTTTCCACATGGGTCAAGTGGTCGCAACTCAAAAGCACACATTTACCTGGACATTAAATCCTCATTCATCACCTTCTCATGAGGAACTGCAAAATTTTAATCCTTGTCTAGAGAGATATTTTCCACCCATTTCAATGTGAGTTTTCAAACTTACAAAAAAAATGACTTTTGTGCAAATTGTACAAACTGTATGTTTGGGCGGCAAAGTATTGCACAGACACTTAGAAATCAGAAGCAGCGGATGGGTGTTTTGCCTCTTTTCAATCAATCATCCAGTGCTCCTGCACTGGCATTGCATGTGTACTTTGGTGCATCAAGGGGAAAGACAGTGATGTTGCATAGAGACATTCTAAAGCAACTAACAAAACCTTGATTTTTAAAGTTTCCATTGTTCTGTTTTTGCACACGAGGCAAGAAACCTTGCAGGACTTACTGAACTCTTTACAGGCTGTCTTACTGGGAACAAGTTAATTTAGCAAAACTGCTTCTGCATCCCAATAATCATCTTGCGTGAGGATGCAACCCTGCGGCAGTCTGCAACGGACCCAGTAAGAAAGAAGACTGGGGGACATTTATTTTATTTATCTATTTATTTATTTATTTTATTTCTATCCCGCCTATCTGATCGTATCTGATCTAGGCGGCTTACAATAAAACAACAATGTAATTTTAAGACATTACAGCTTAAGACATGATGACTTCAATCATCTTGCGTGAGGATGCAACCCTGTGGCAATCTGCAACGATCCCAGTAAGAAAGAAGACTGGGGGACATGATGACTTATTTAGGCTTCTGATTAATGAGCACACACACCCTGCACTTCCTATTCTGTCCATCTCAGGATAGGAGAAATGGGCTAATACACTGAGGAACTGCTACAGCTTCCTTCTTCTTCTTCTTTTTTTAAAGAGCCATTTTTGGAAGGCACAAATTTTTCCCTCCGACTAATGCAATCCCGGTCCAAAAATGAACCAGGCCTGATCCTGTTTACTTTGCTAAATCAGAAAAAACCAGGTAGCAAACTACCATACAAACGTCACTAAACCACAGCAGGGAAAGGAAGGCCTCAGTAGTAGTAGTAGTAGCAGCCCAGCGTCATTATGCTAATGTGATGTGTGAAAAAAAAATCTTTTAGTCATCGCTGAGTGGAAAAGAGTCTTCAGTATGAGTAGTGGAAAACCCAGTTTTCCCCTCTTCTCGCCTCCAAAGCATTCTCAGCCACGCGTGGACATCTGTCAGCCCCAACGTCTCAGCCCGGTGCTTCCCCCTCAGCATACTCAGGAGGTCGAGATATTCAAATGCGCCACTCACGCTTGACAGCCTCTTGCAAATTCGTGGTAGCTCATTAAAGGGGGTTTCCAAAATGGTCTCTTCTTAGTAAGGTAGCATTTAAATATATACCGTGTGGGTTAGAACTGTGAATTGCAAGGGATTGTTCAGTACGGAGTGAAAAGAGAGCGTGTGAGAGGAAATAAAGATGCTGGCCAGGTTGGTTTCTGAGAAGCACAGCAAACTTCCCCACGTGTAAATTTTTTTCCCCCTTCACTCGTCAGTCAAGGTGATCAGATATTCTTGGCTTTGATGTTTTCAAAGTTCGTTCACTTAAGTTGTGCTCTTCAAAGCGTGATAAGAGTATTTAGGTAGCAACGCATCCCTCCATCGACAAAGCGCTTTGTGGTCTGTGGTTTTGGCAGGCCGATGGAAAGGTAGCAGGCGACGACGAGGTGTACACACTCATGGCACTACGAGCATAACCTGGTGTGAACCTGTAAGTTCCGCCTTGTTCACTGAGCATGCTCCATCATCATTGCCGACCTGGTGGGGAGAGGCTAGAAACGGCAGCACAACACATCCAGACGGTATTGGTCTAAAGCTGTGCAGGTATTCCAAGACTCCAGAAAAGTGATTTGGGGGACAAACACCTGAAACATCTGGAGAGGACCACTGCTCTAACCCAGTGGTCCAAGTGCCCTCTGGGGCTGCATTGGGGCCCCAAGAAGGGCATTTTTACAGCCACTCCAGAGCCCCACATTTAAAAAGAAAGTTCCATTTTTTTTAAAGAAAGCCTATTATATCCTTAAAGGCCTCCAGGAGCAGCAGTTTTTATATAAGGACCTTGGAGGCAAGGTGGATTTGATTTAAATCAAATTTATTTAAAACACAATTTAATTATTTTTTTTAAAAAAAAATCAGATTATTTGATGGGTTAAAATTTTTAAATTTAAATCATGATTTAAATTAATTTGAGGGAAAAATTTGATTTTTATCCACCCTGCTTGGAGAATACTCCAACAAGAACTCTCTACTCTCCCAAACCTGAAAAATTAGAACAACTTCATGTCTACTCCTGTTCCTCTGAAGATGCCGGCCACAGAGACTAGCGAAACGTTAGGAAGAACAACCTTCAGAAGACGGCCAAAGAGCCTGAAAAACCCACAACAACCAACTTCATGTCTGTTTGCTTGCTTGTTTGAATGGCCATTTTAGACATCTTCCGACATCTCTGAGTCTGGTGAGGGCTGGCAGAGAAATCTAGGTTGGTTCCCGCTCTTGCTCTAAGTATTACATCATGTTGCTTTCAAGAATACTTTCTTGATGTATAAGGGTGTTCAACTGTTGAAGGAAAAACAATGAACCTTGTTATCAAAAACAAACACATTTATTATGACATAAGCTTTAGGAATACTATAAGAATTCATATCTGCCAGATGTATAGCAACTAATAGTGATACAGTATCTTTGATTAAATATGTTGCCTGACTGACTGAGGTACCTTCGGAGCTGATTACCGCTTTTGAATTGATTTATATGACAAATTAACTGATTAAATACTGCTGACTGATGACACCAATCATCAGTCACTTCTTTACCCATAGCTTCTCTTCTTTGATTAAATATGCTGCCTGACTGACTGAGGTATCTTAGGAGCTGACTACCGCTTTCGAATTGATTTCTATGACAAATTAACTGATTAAATACTGCTGACTGATGACACCAATCATCAGTCACTTCTTTACCCATAGCTTCTCTTCTTTCCTTACCTGGGAATGACTGAAGCTAAACCTCTGGAAGGAGAAGAAATCCAGGCACTGGGGGGAAAAAAACAGAAGAGAGGAAAGCCACTAACTGCATTCATAAGAAACGACAACAGTGTTTCTGTTTATTTATTTGTTCATTTTATTTATATGCCGAGGGCTCAACTCAGCTCATGGTATTAAAAAGAATAGAATTTAAAACAAAAGATTTTTTTAAAAAACTATATGCTAATTAAAATACAAGTGAATCATTAGAAGCAAGCAAACATTAAAACTTTCTTAACTCTAAGAAGACATTAAAGGATGCAAATATGATTGTTAAAATCCTGCCTGAAGAGATGGGTCTTCAGCTGTCGGTGGAAGGATAAAGGAAGGGGGCCAGCCTGATCTCCCGAGGGGGAACTTTCCATAACCCGGGAGCTGCCACAGAGAAGGCCCTCTCCCGTGTCCCTATCAGCTATGCCCGTGTTGGCAATGGGACTGAGAGGAGGGCCTCCTCTGATTATCTTCATATGGGTAGATACGGTCCTTCCTATAGCCTGAAGGTTTCTGCATAGGATTTCATAGGTAATGACCAGCACTTTGAACTGGGCTTGGAAATGGACTGACAGCCAGAGCAGTTGTTATAACTGGGGCATTCTATGTTCCCCATAACTGGCCCCAGTCAGTAGTCTGGCTCCTGAGTTTTGCACCAGCTGAAGTTTACAGCTTCTATATAGGTACAGTGGTGACTCGCAAGACGAAAGTAATTTGTTCCACGAGTAGTGCTGTCTTGCAAAATGTTCGTCTTGCGAAAATCAGTTTCCCATAGGAATGCACTGCAATGCATTCCTATGGGAACCTCGCAAGACGAATGAATTATATTTGTCTTGCGAGGCATCGGTCTTGGGGGGGGCGAAATTGTCTTGAGAAGCACGGCCATAGAAGAAGCAGTCTTGCGAGGCACCACAGTGATCGCAAAAAACATTCGTCTTGTAGGTTTTTCATCCCGCGAGCCTTTCGTCTTGCGAGGCACCACTGTATTAGGTAAAGCCCAGCTGGATTAAACCAACAATTAAACCCAGGATCCTGCTTCCAAGCGTGACTGGCCAGAGAGTGCTCTCATTTTAAAACCTCAGACCAATATACATTTTCGGCAATAGCAAATCAAGCTTTCCTCTCCTGGCCCTGCTTTGACAGAATGTGAAAGGGTGATTAGGTGATCGCTCACTTCCCGAACGACACGAAGAAAATTATCAAATTAGGGAGAAACGTTTTAAGACTTATCTCTGCCTCACAAATCCTCTCGCCCCTCCACTTCAGACTAAAAAGTTCAGCATAGCTGGAGCACGTTTGCTGAAGGTTGCACGCCTCCAATTTCCATCAGAAGTAGAAAATTTGGGAGGAGGGTCACACTTTTGCTTCCTGTACAATCTGGTGTAAAATATACCCGTGGTCTGCTCAATATTACTAATTCCACACCTTTTAAAACAGGGACCAATGCCTTCCCTGCTCTCTGCAATAATACAATCAGTGGCCATTGGTGGGAGGATGGCTGCTGTTTCATGCTGTCCAGTTGGAAGCAACTTTTTGTGACTGTAATAGGGGCTCAAGGTAAGTGGAGTACAGTGGGGTCTCGACTTACGAACGGTTCTACATACAAATTTTTGGACTTACGAACCACTCCCATAGGAATATATGGACTCGACTTGAGAACTTAGATTCGAGTTACGAACTCTTTTCTTTTTAAAAAATCTAAGTCATCTTAGGTTAAAAGGAAAAAAAAGAAAAAATAACCCCCTC